TCCAACAACAATGGACCCCTCTCCCCAGTAACAATAGATCCACCCCAGCAACAATAGACTCCCAACAGCCAACATCCATAAACGCTCCAGCAGCCAGCAACTATAGATCCCTCATTCAATAGTAGATCCCTCCCAGGAATGATTGGTCCCCTGCAACATAAGACCCACCCCCAGAAAAAACAGATAAATATATCCCCACCAGCAACAATAGACAACCATCAATAGAGATTCTATCTAGCAATAATATATTACCCAGCACCTAGCAACAATAGACCTCCCCAGCAACAATAGGCCCCCCAAATCAATGGAACCCCCCAGCAACAATAGGCCCCTCAACAACAATGAACCCCCTGTGACAATAGATCCACCCCAGCAACAATAGACTCCCAACAGCCATCATAAATAGACCCTCCAGCAGCCAGCAATGATAGATCCCTCCTTCAGTAGTAGATACCTTCCAGGAGTGATTGGTCCCCAGCAACATGAGACCCACTCCCAGCAAAGACAGATAAATAGATCCCCCACCAGCAACAATATACCCCCATCACTATAGATTAGTTCCAGCAATAATAGACAACCCAGCAGCCAGCAATAATAGATCTCCCCAGCAACAATAGGCCCCCCAAAAACAATGGAACCCCCCAGTGACAATATATCCACCACAGCAACAATAAACTCCCAACAGCCAGCATCAAAAAACCCTCCAGCAGCCAGCAACGATAGCTCCCTCCTTCAATAGTAGATCTCTCCCAGGAGTGATTGGTCCCCAGCAACATAAGAGCCACCCCCAGCAAAAAATAAATAAATAGATACCCCACTAGCAACAATAGACCCCACAGTGCAAAATTAAATCCCCCAGCAGCCAGCATCATTACATAAATTCAGTGCTGGAGATGCGTTCCCCAGCGTTCTCGCTGAAAAGGAGGGGGGAGGAGGCGGGGAACGCAACTTTCTATAAAAGGGTGAAGTTCCTTTTTAAACATGGCTTCCTTATGGTTCCTGGCATTAGAAATGTCGGTCTCCCGCAGGGAGATGGATGTGACAAATGGCAGTTGGGAGTTAGGAATTGCTAGAATGACGTCTGTTGCTAAATATAGGCGGCATCGGACGTAATTATTCTGCGGCGGAATTTTTATTGTCTGTGATGGCGGCACCTTCGCTCCTCTCTCCGCTGTGACAACTCTGCTGATTGGATTTACTACGCACGCTTATATGCCATCCATTGTGAACTCTTCCCCGATGAGGACGGGTTCCTTCGGAATACAAAGAGCTTCATTTTCCCCGAAACAAAGGATCTTGTTTTCAAACAACTTGCTGCTGAAATCAACAAATGTAACACAATAGGGAGATGCTGATCCAAATCCAGAGCCTGACAGCCTCACAAATGACGCGTGACCAATCTCTGCGCTCCATCACAGCCGCACAGGCTGTATGCAGAATAATATGGGGAACTCGGGATCCCTTGTGCACAACCTGCGTTCTGGGGACCATACGTGGCCCATTGACACCTTGCTGTGCAAATGTCTCCAGCATTCGCACCATTGTCACAAATAATCCCTTTAATTTGCCTAATATTTGTATGGTTGCCAGCTCCATCTAGTGGCCATAATGTGGTCCTTTCCTGATTTATTTATTTATTTCAGGTACTTATATAGCGCCATCAATTTACACAGCACTTTACATATATATTGTACATTCACATCAGTCCCTAACCCTCAAGGGGTGTACAATCCAAGGTCCCTAACTCACATTCATACATACACATACTAGGGCCAATTTAGACAGGATCCAATTCACCTACCAGCATGTCTTTGGAGTGTAGGAGGAAACCAGAGTACCCGGAGGAAACCCACGCAGGCACAGGGTGAACATGCAAACTTCAGGCAGGTGGTGTGCTGGTTGGGATTTAAACTAACGACCCTAGTACTGCCAGGTGGAAGTGCTAACCATTTAGCCACTGAGTTATTTCAGGAAAGTACTGCATTATGGTCACTAGATGGAGCTGACAATCACAGGAAATGCACACATTAAAGTGTTACTGAACCCACAACAGTACAATCAGTCTATAGATGCAGTAAAGCATGCTTGTTATACTCACTGTGGGACCTAAGGGGTTAATCCTCTGCGTTGTGTAAAAAGGATGTTTGATCCTGTCTTTTCTGATTCTCCCTTCTTCCTGTGTCTCCTAAATATCTCCTGATAGAACCAGGGGCGGACTGACCATTTGGAAACTCGGGCACTGCCCGAGGGCTCGGGGTCAGTAGGGGGCCCCATGACATGCCCCTGGCACCTTTTTCATAGGTTTTTTTGAGTTTGGGCAAGGACACAGGGGCCCCATGATCCCCTATTGCCTGGGGGCCCCATGAGTTGTCAGTCCGCCCCTGGATAGAACAGAGGCTCGGGGGCAAGCTGCACATGCTCAGTTTTGTGTGTATTGCTAGAGAGTTTGTTTTTTTTTTCTTGGGAGAGTGCATGTGATCAGCACAGAGCCAACCAGCACTGTCCAGAAAGAGGTCAGGGGTCCTGCATCCTCCTACAGGAGAAAAAAAACTTCTACAAGCTTTAACCAGTGCTCTGCTGGATACTGATAGAAGTCACAAGACTGCTCTATACTGCTGATGAGAAAAGGTATTTAGCAGCTTATATTTACTAAAATAATTGCATTTCCATGTTCTGGTTGTGTACTGTGGGAGACCAGATATAGTGAATGCAGGGTCCGGGGAGACCAGATATAGTGAATGCAGGGTCCGGGGAGACCGGATATAGTGAATGCAAGGTTCGGGGAGACCAGATATAGTGAATGCAGAGTCTGGGGAGACCAGATATAGTGAATGCAGGGTCTGGGGAGAGCGGATATAGTGAATGCAGGGTCTGGGGGAGACCAGATATAGTTAATGCAGGGTCTGGGGAGACCAGATATAGTGAATGCAGGGTCCGGGGAGACCAGATATAGTGAATGCAGGGTCTGGGGAGAGCGGATATAGTGAATGCAGGGTCTGGGGAGACCAGATATAGTGAATGCAGGGTCCGGGGAGACCAGATATAGTGAATGCAGGGTCCTGGGAGACCAAATATAGTAAATGCAGGGTCCGGGGAGACCAGATATAGTGAATGCAGGGTCCAGGAAGACCAGATATAATGAATGCAGGGTCCGGGGAGAGCGGATATAGTGAATGCAGGGTCCTGGGAGACCAGATATAGTGAATGAAGGTCTGGGGAGAGCGGATATAGTGAATGCAGGGTCCGGGTTGACCAGATATAGTGAATGCAGGGTCCGGGGAGAGCGGATATAGTGAATGCAGGGTCCGGGGAGACCAGATATAGTGAATGCAGGGTCCGGGGAGAGCGGATATAGTGAATGCAGGGTCCGGGGAGACCAGATATAGTGAATGCAGGGTCCTGGGAGACCAGATATAGTGAATGCAGGGTCCGGGTTGACCAGATATAGTGAATGCAGGGTCCGGGGAGACCGGATATAGTGAATGCAGGGTCCGGGGAGACCAGATATAATGAATGCAGGGTCCGGGGAGACCAGATATAGTGAATGCAGGGTCCGGGGAGACCAGATATAATGAATGCAGGGTCCGGGGAGACCAGATATAGTGAATGCAGGGTCTGGGGAGACGGATATAGTGAATGCAGGGTCTGGGGGAGACCAGATATAGTGAATGCAGGGTCTGGGGAGACCGGATATAGTGAATGCAGGGTCCGGGGTTTACTGACACTTTAAGCAAATAACAAGGAATATTTGTGATGTGTGAGACATTCCAAATTTTTTAAATATAGACCCCTTGCTATGTGACCCTCAGTGCCCCTGCAGACAACATTCTGTGACTGATGCTAAAACTATTCCTTAGCTTCTCGTAGGTAAACGGGTTGGTTTATTTCCTCCACGCTAACTTAGCTTTTTATGTTTTTTTTCTCTATTCTTTTGTAATGGATCTTACTGAAAGTAATATAAATTGTTACACAAGTAAATTTGTATAGTCTCTGACCATCACTTGTATCATGTCTGCAGTCTTTGGCCATCTCTTCTATAATGTCTGCAGTATCTGACCATCTTCTGTATCATGCTTTCAGTCTCTGACCGTCTCCTGTATCATGTCCCCAGTCTCTGACCATCTCCTCTATCATGTCTGCAGTCTCTGACCATCTCTTGTATCATGTCCCCAGTCTCTGACCATCTCCTCTATCATGTCTGCAGTCTCTGACCATCTTCTGTATCATGTTTGCAGTCTCTGACCATCTTCTGTATCATGTTTGCAGTCTCCGACCATCTCCTATGTCATGTCTGCAGTCTGAACATCTCCTTTATCACGTCCGCAGTCTCTGACTATCTCTTGCATCATGTCTGCAGTCTTTGACTATCTCTTCTATCATGTCTGCAGTCTCTGACCATCTCTTGTATATCATGTCTGCAGTCTATGACCATCTCTTGTATCATGTCTGCAGTCTCTGACCATCTCTTGTAACATATCTGCAGTCTCTGACCATTTCCTATATCATGTCTGCAGTCTCTGACCATCTCTTCTATTATGTCTGCAGTCTCTGACCATCTCTTCTATCATGTCTGCAGTCTCTGACCATCTACTGTATCATGTTTGCAGTCTCTGACCATCTCCTGTATCATGTCTGCAGTCTTTGACCATCTCTTCTATCATGTCTGCAGTCTTTGACCATCTCTTCTATCATGTCTGCAGTCTCTGAGCATCTCCTGTATCATTTCTGCAGTCTCTGACCATTTCCTATATCATGTCTTCAGTCTCTGACCATCTCCTGTATCATGTTTACAGTCCCTGACCATCTTCTGTATCATGTTTGCAGTCCCTGACCATCTCTTCTATCATGTCTGCAGTCTCTGACAGCTTTCTGTAGCATTACATTCACTATGTATGGCCCTTTAGTAATATCAGGGGCCACACTTAAGACCCTCCATACCTAGTCAGTTGATCACCACTGGTCAAGACCTTTTTGCTTTTGCGCTCTGCTGTTGCTCTCACCTTTTCCGGTGCCCTGAGGTCCACCCATCGCGCCGTACCAAATGGAATGCCAATATTGGCCAGGCTCAGGGTGATCTCCCCGGCCACCTGGTGCCTGGAGAATCGGTCGCAGTTGCGCAGGGTAAGGGTCAGCGTGGTTTGGGCTCGGTCCTCCTCCTGCAGAGGGAACAGCAGGGCTTCCTCCCAGACAGTGTGCGCCGATCTTTTCACCAAGGCGGTCTGGCCCTCCGTCCGTCCGCGCTGAGTGTTCAGTGTGCCTAAAACGTAGCAGTGACTCCCAGAATCCTCCTCTCCAGGCAGCAGCACACCTACGGCTTAATCACAGATCAAAATATTCTTCATTATTTCATGTTCTCTCACCATTACCTTTTACACTTACATCATTGTGAGATTTTTGAGCATCTATAAACCCCAAAATAAAGAATTTTCTTTTTTTTCCCCCCATCTTTTCCCCCCTTATTTTCACCTGGTAGCCCTTAGAATAACACACATCCTGTCCCTACACTCAATTCTCCACTGTATCTATGGAGGGATCCAAAGTGGTTACACAGGCTGGGCATCAAAAATGTCCGGCTTTGTTCATCTCCAATACATGGTGGATTGATGGAACTAGTAGTTTACACCGGAAGGATAAGCTTCTGGCGCTTTTTTTTCAAACTCACAGGAAGTGACACGGACACAACATTTCTGGCAGGATCAACAGATATTCTGCATTTTCTGATAACATTCTTGGCCTGAAAAGAGAAAACTCATGCAGCCACCTCATCTAAAGACTGGTAAGCCACAATATATTATATTTTTGATTGTTCTTCCCCACTAGTATTGAACTACATTGGATCAGGGGCGGACTGACAACTCATGGGGCCCCCGGGCAATAGGGGATCATGGGGCCCCTGTGTCCTTGCCCAAACTCAAAAAAAAGCCTATGAAAAAGGTACCGGGGCATCTCATGGGGCCCCCTACTGACCCCAGGCCCTCGGGCAATGCCCGAGTTTCCAAATGGTCAGTTCGCCCCTGCATTGGATTATCATTTTTCTCTAGTATGCTGACATCTAATGTTGGTTTCTGGTCACTGCAACTTGTTTACAAATGCGACTTTTTCAAGGTTCCCTCAGTCAGTGTAATTTATTCACAAAGACAGAGGTTAGGAAAGTTATCATTTTCTTACAGTTCAAACGATCGGAAGAAAAAAAAAAAATCCTCGGCACTACAATTATCTAAAGTAAAATTGCATTGGATTTAACTTCTGCATCTTAAATAGGAGTTAAGCTGCCTGTGGTTGGTGTCAAGTCAGCAAGTGACCATACTGTCTGGACAGACTGGATCTAAGGATGTACAGTATGTCAATGCATAAAGCGACAGACTAATACACTTTAGAGATAGTTGTCTGATCCCTGTAAATTCTTCTATTGGTTAAATATACACCCAGAACTGCTTGTTTATTTGACTTGGTTCCCTAATGCTCCATTCACACTGAGCTGAACGTTTTTCAGGCGTTTTTTTCAAGCATTTTTTTTTCAGGTGTCTTTGAGCGTTTTTTTTTTTTGCAGATTTGCAAATATTATAGGCATTTTTCAGGCATTCTGTATTCAGGTATTTTTGCTGTGGCCAATAGAAATCGAAATAGCTGCATTTGAGCTGAAAACGCTTGAAAAAAAAACTTGAAAAAAAGCTTTAAAAATGCTCATTCCCACTGTTCAGGCATTTTCCAATCAAGTCTATGGGGACAAATTGCCCAGATCTGCCTGAAAAGTAGCTCAAGTAGTTTTTTGAGCGATAGGCATTTTGCCATAGGTGACAGAACGCTCATATGTGAACAAGGGCCATAGAAATGAATTGGATTTTGCTTGTTGAGCGTTTCTGAGCGGCGTCAAGCTGGAAAATGCCCTAGTGTGAATGGAGCCTAACATTCAGTTAGGGTTTAAGAAAAAAAGAATGTTCCAGACTATTTTTTTTTATCGTATTAGCAGTTTTTATAAGAACTTTAATCAGAGCTTAAAATTTGAAGGACTTACCTTCCAGGAAAGATACACAGAGCTCGGCTGTCTGCCGGTCGTATCCGAGGGAGTAACGCAGCTTTGGAACATGAAGTGGGCTGTTCGCTTTTTCTGAATCCTCATTGTCAGAAGAAGGAGTATTCCCACAATGATCTGTAGATAGATAGATAGATAGAATGCTCCATGAGCAGGGCCCTCCTGTCTCTTCTGTACTGAAATGTATTGTAATTGTTGGAGCGATATAAATCCTGAATAATAATAATTAATAAATTAGAGAGATAGATAGATAGATAGACAGACAGATAGATGATAGATAGATAGATAGATAGATAGATAGATAGATAGATAGGTAGATTGTATGCTCCATGAGCAAGCCCCTCCTATGAATTGTATTGTAATTTTACTGTCGCCCTTTATATGGTAAATAGCTGTGCAAACTGTTGGAGCGATATAAATCCTGAATAATAATAATAATAAATAAATAGATAGATGGATAGAAAGAAAGATAGATAGATAGATAGATAGATAGATAGATATTGAGATAGATTATAGATAGATAGATAGATAGATGAGATAGATTATAGATAGATAGATAGATAGATAGATAGATAGATACTGATACAAAGATAAAAGGATAGATAATAAATTGGAAAGAAATTGGCATAAATTAGATCATAGATAGATTGATAAAAAATAAATAGATTTATGGATAGATTACAATAAAAAGATGAAAGAATAGATTATAGATTGGAAAGAAGTTGATATAAATTAGATCAGATTGTAGATAGATAGGTAGATAGATAGATAAATTTTGTAGGTATGAACCTCTGATGATCTGGGTACAGATGAGTCCCGGTGACAGTTGTCATCCAGTGTACAGCACATGATGTGTGATGACGGTCCCTTACTGACATGCATGTCCTACATGTGACACAATCTATAGACATCTCCGGGATGAGTCAAGGCGGATTATACAGTCATTGCTCTCACACCGACACTATACAACACACTGAAACAGCCAACACTCCACAACAAGAGGACTGTGGAGGACACTTATGATGATTTACGCTTTTTTCATCCTTTATTGAGGTTGTTATAGAAACAACAATTATATTGCAAATCCACTGTGACCTGGGGTTTTATGTTTTTAGTGAACTGAATCATCCATCAGCAACTCTAGGAAAAAGAATATGTAGCACTACCCTCATGTAGGCCGCTGTGTTTCTCGTTCCCCCTAACTCTACACAGCCAGGCATAACGCATTGTCCACACTTGCATCCATAGCCTCTGAACAGTCCATGAGCTTTGTTTTTGTTATTTTATTAGAGGAAATAACTTGTATTGGGTAATAGGGATTATGGGATGTCCAGCTTGACTGAATCAATGCACGGGGACAACTTCCTCTTTACAGAAACAGATCCTGGACTGTTCTTCTCCTTGAATGTGGTCAGCCTTTACGTATCAGTAGAAAAAGCCCCTTATGGGCTAGGGACTCGCAGCCCCTCTGAAATTTCGCTTAGCTTGTTGCAAACTACATACAGAGATGTCTCCTCTCCCCTGTAGAACTGCTCCCAGCTTCATAGTCTGCAGACACTACCAACCCTCCTGGCTGGCTATTTCAGAAGATCTTCCAGGACAAGGATAAAGGATTGAGCCCAGAACGGTCCTTTGAAAGCTTGCTACATGTGGCAGTCTCTCCCCTTGTGATTCCCTGGGTGTGCTGATGTACTCACTCTGTCCTCCTTGCTTCCAATGCTCCCGGGCCTTGATCTTGTTCATACCGCACTGCTGAATGGACCCTCCTGAGCCAGCCAGAGCCCAGCCTGGAGGCCCCTCCCACCAGACCTAGGGGAACCCTCCCAGGCCACCGACAGCCTCCTCAGCACTCCATCTTCCAGCCTGACTCCCCCATACTGTATTTATGGCTGGCCTGACCACTTTACCAGGGCCTTCAAACCTGGGATTGGTTAGACTCCTATAAACATGCAGATTAGGTCTCCACCCCTTCAGCCCACTGGTTTCTGGAAGGTTCAATGGTCCTCCAAAGTAAGGTAGAGGCGATAGAGTCCCAACCTGTTAAGTCATCTAGCCTGACCTACAGTAACCTGACCTACTCTAGTAACACACTAGAGGGTGCTACAAATATATTTACAGTATATATATATTTAGACAGATTGAAAGACTCCAGAATGGCTGGGAAAATTGGTCTTTTGTTTTTTCCAAATTTTCAGGACAAGCTTTTAGGGTGTGTTTTCTACTTTAAGGTCCAAGCAGAACTTTTGGACCTTGAAGCAATAAGACACATCCCAAGAGCTTGTACTGAAAATTTGGATGTTAGGCTGCCCATAGATGGTTCAAATCTGCTGAACCGGCCGAGATTCCAACAATGTATGGTGTCAGAGAATGCGCAGGCGCAGAACCCCTGTTAGCCTGCTCATGGCCGATTGGCAAATGCGCATGCTCGCAAGTGCGCATGCGCGACAGCACATTGGCACCAGGCAGGCTATTTAGACTGGGCTAATGCCTTGCATTGGTGCCATTTGGTCTAATACTTTTGAGCACCCGTGCATCTTGTTACCTGTGATTCCATTGCTGACCTGATCTGTTATTGACCCTGCTTGAACGCTGCCTGTACTGACCCCTGGCTTGCCCCTTGACTATTCTTCTGCCTGCTGTTTCTGCTTACACTGCCTGCTAGTTGCTGACCCAGACTGCCTGACCTTGCCTTACTCTGCTCCTGCACCTGAACCGCCTTATTCTTGCCAGTATCCTGCTCCTGCACTTCTGCCTGCGTGCCATGTGCCAGTCGGCTCCTGCACCTCTGCCAGCGAGTCATCTGCCAAGCTGTTCCTGCACTTCTGCCAGTGTGCCATCCACCAGCTGCTCCTGCATTCCTGACGCAAGTCAACATCCATCCACAGAAGTCCTACCAGTCACTCGTGCACATCTGTGCTCCAGCACTCCCTGTTACTCTACCAGGGCTCCTGAGCAAGAGCTGCAAGGGAGGCCTTCCTCTGCACTTCAGGTTCTACGTTACATATGGGCAGGCTGTAAGTACCAAGTTGATTGATCAACTTGGGTACGACCACCCTGATGGAGTTTACATGTAATTATTGATAGCAGCTATAGCCGCTAGCAATAATCACTGTCTTCTCAGTGGTGGGACTCTTCTCACACCCCCTTACCCCACCACCAGGAGAATACAATTGCATCTGCAGGAGGGATCCCTCTATCAACACTGACTGTTTTGATGGGAATCAAGCAAATTTCTTTCCTGTAACCCGTGGTTGCAGGAAATGAATTCGCTCTGTGTATGGGTTGCTTTAGTGCAAATAAAAAATTATCACAGACAGGACTCAATTGTTCTTGTTGCAAGTGCACTAATATGGCTACAATCAGCTCAAGCATTCCCTAGATTTTGTAATTCTCAGATTGGGTTCTGGAGTTCAGAGGCTTCTAAGAGTCTTGGAAGAGACAAAACCTCCAACCATTGTCCAGGTCTTTTTGAGACCAGCAGATTGAGTGGACAGGGATGCACACCCTTTATAATCAAGGTATAACTGCAGTTCAGGGCTCCACCCAGGAGACAGAAGATCCCTACCCAGAGGCCAGGATGTGGGTCAGAGCAGCAGGGAGCTCTGAGAGGTACAGAGTTGTATGTGAGCACAGGAGGTGCCAGGAGGCTTAAAGCAGTTTTCTAATCTGTAAAATAAAAATAATAATAATATAGACACTTAGGACATTTACCTGTCCAAGAACCCAGCGTTGTCCTGACCCGGGCTAGTTCTTCACCAGCCTTTGGGTTCCAAGTGTCGGAATCTTAACTATGGGCAGTTGGCTGGGATGCTTGCGGCTTCACAGCCGGCTGCCCACTGCTCATGCGCGAGCAGCACTATGCTTTGTGAATGGTCCCGCAGTCTTCTGGGACCTGTGACATGTCCTAGAAGACTGCTGGGAGGGAGGGGGAGAGAATAACTTTCACTCGGATCACCTAGGCAAGCTAGTTACCTGCTCTCCCCCCCCCTCAAAAAAAAAAAATATGCCAAATTGGGTAGAGGAGGGTGGGAGGAGGACTTAAAGCAGATTAGACTCTCTCCAGTTCTAGCACCTCCATCTTTAGGATTGGTGACCAGAACTGGAATGGCATACTCCAGATGTGACCGAACCAGAGTTTTATGAAGTGACTGGATTATAGTTTTAGCTCTTGAGTAAATTCCCTTTTTAATGCACGCTAATACTTTGCTAGCTTTGCTTGCTGCAACTTGGCATTGCATGCACTGCTGAGCCTGTCATCTATTAGGACCCCCAGATCTTTTTCCAGCCTGGATTCCCCCATAGGTTCTCCGCCTAGCGAGTAATTTGTGTTCATATTTTTAGCCACAAGTGCATTACTTTGTATTTTTCAACATTAAACCTAATTTGCCATGTAGTTGCCTACCCCATTATTTTAATGAGAACTTCTTGTAAAGTTTCTATATCTTGCTGTGAATGTTTTGCCCTACATAGCTTTATATTGTGAGCGAACACTGAAATTCAACTATTTATACCAACCTCTATATCATTTATGAAAAAAATTAAACAGAATTGGTCCTAGGACAGAGTCTTGTGCTACCCCCATTTACCACTTCAGTCCAGTCCGAGTACTCACTATTTATCAACACCCATTGGACGCGTCCTTGTAACCAGTTTTCTATTCATGAACAAACCCTATGGTCCATACCTATAGATCCCAGTTTGTAAATTAAGCATTTATGTGGAACTGTATCGAATGCTTTTGCAAAATCCAGATAACCCACATCCACTGCCCTTCCATTACCTAGATGGCAGCTCACTTCCTAGTAGAATGTTAACAGATTGATTTGGCAAGAACAGCCGTTCATATATCCATGCTGATTTCTACTAAATATTTTGTTTTCTTCAGCAAATTATTGTATATAGTCCTTTGTTATCCCCTCAATTAGTTTACATACTATTGATGTTAGACTGACTGGTCTGTAGTTCCCAGGTATATGTCTCTGCTCTTTTTTGAATATTGGTACCATGTTGGCCCTACGCCAATTAGCTCGCACTATTCCTGCCAGTATGCTGCCCATAGGTATAGCAGTCTGGATATAACCTGGCAGAGTTCTTTGAGGACTCTCAAGTGTAAGCCA